TCGGGTGTGTCTCGATTGCCAGCTACCTCCCCACTCATATCCGCCTCATCATTTGTCATTCTATGTTCTTCTTGTCAATGCTTTTCTGTGCACGCATGTGCGCGTCGCACTTTACTGTTACTTGCCTTCGGCCTAACCCGCCACTATGCTATAGCATGGCATAGCAAGGCATGGGTATTCAAAATGTGGGGACCCCTATGTGCGCGCCGTCTTTTACTGTTACTTGTCTCAGGCCAATCCCGCGACTTTGCTACAGCTGTCATAGCACAGCATGGGTCCCCAAAAGTAGGGTTCTCCTGCCGGACCCGACCCGTCCCGTCCGTTGAGGTCCGCCTGCCCGACTCTTCCCGCCCGTTAGAGCACTCGCGTGCCAACTGGATCGCACATCAGTCGTCGCCGTCGTCGTCGTCGTCGTCGACGTTGTATTCGATGTGGTTATAACGAGGGGAGAGATGATCTTTATGGTGGGGTGGCTTGCGGGTGGGAGTGACGGCCACCGCAGGTGGGTTTGCGGTCAAGGTGTAATCGTGGCCAAGCCTGGTAGACCCTAAACCCTAAATTCTTAATTCTTAATCTTATAATTATTAAACCCTAATTGCCATAAAACTGGTCGTTATGCAACCCCGCTCCATTTACTGCAAAAAATAACACTTCCTGAGCATGCGTGCAGACGCTACCGTATTTTACACTACAAAGTGCCCGGTCTCCGTTGCGAGCCCGGTCCATCTACTGCAAAAAAATAGCATTTGCTGAGCATGCGCGCAGAATCTCTTGTATTTTTCAATGCAAAGTGCCCGGTCCCCGTTGCGAGCCGCTAGTGTAAACCCGGTCCATCTACGGCAAAAAATAGCATTTGCTGAGCATGCGTGCGTAATCTCTTGTATTTTACACTACAAAGTGCCCGGCCCCCTTTGCGACCCGCTCATGTAAACCCGGTCCATCTACTGCAAAAAATAGCAGTTGCTGAGCATGCCCATTCGTGGGCCGCCACTGTGGGCCCATGCTGTGCTATGCCATGCTATTACACAGTGGCACACGCATAGGACAGTAGAGTACAAGATAATACGCACATAAGGGTCATCACTTTTTGGGAACCCATGCCGTGCTATGATTGCCCACAGTGGCAAGATGATCTCCGCGTCTGAGTCGCCTGAGCCGTCCGACTAGTCTGCTCCTCGGGATCATCGCGCTTCATGCTGACAGGCAGCCAATCGGTGCGACGGATGCACCCATCGTGGCCAAGTAAAAGGCGGGAACACAACAACTCACTCAGATGTTGTCATGGTGAAACACGGTGAAACATAAGGTTTAGGGGCCCGGGGGCGGCCCTCCCCGCCCTCGCGGGGCGGCCTTGCTCCCCGGGGTGTGGGGGGGAATGGGAAGCGGCGGCCATCCTCGCCGTAGCAGGGCGGGTCTGCCCGTACGTGACCAGCCTTGTACGCGATAGGTTGCTTCGCCATAGGTTAGAGCATAGATCGATGGGTTAACACATCTAAGTGCAAACCCCTTTCTGATAGGCCCAGGGCAAGCAACAGTAAAAGATAACGCGCACATAGGGGTCCTTACTTTTTGGGGACCGCTGCTGGCCCATGCAATCTTATAACACAGTTGGGGAATTGGCTCAGGGGAAGTAACAGAGATTTCAATGCGTCCCCACTTTTTGAGGAACCATGTTGTGCTATGCCATGCGCAGCACGGTAGCGGTATAGTCTAGGTCTAGTAATAGTAACAGACCACAAATCTGTAAGTCAGGACACTTTTTGGGGACCCATGTAGTGCTATGCCCCATGCTTGACCACAGTGGCAGGGTAGGCATAGGGCAATTGGCGACCCCGGGCGGGATAGGCATCGGGCAAGTATTGACGAACGCGCACATAGGGGTCACCACTTTTTGACGACCCATGCCGTGCTATGCCATGCCATAGCATAATGGCGAGAAGATAGGGCAAGTAGCAAACAAACAAACAAACAAAAAACAAGGCGCAGATTGCAGTCACCACATGTAAGGGTGCTGTGCTGTGCCATGATATAGCACGGTGGCGGAATAGGTCTCGGGTGGCTTGTCAAACGACCACGCGACTATAGAACCCCCTCTTTTTCGAAAGCCATGCTATGTTATGTTATGCTGGGGCACAATGGCGGGATGAGTCAGACAAGTATAAGTAAGAAAGAAAACGCATAGAGGTCCCCACTCATTGTCCATCGAACAGTAAAAGCAGACTGGTGTTGCGGTCCGCCGGGTGTAGGCGAAGGCAACACTAACGCATGAGGCATGTATAGACAATGAGATCTAGCAAGCTGTAATGCGACCGCGAGAGGATCTCGCGCATGCCGTCTCGGAACCGAATAGCCGTTTCGTGATCCCACAACGCCCATTTGATGATCTTCTTCCGTACAGGCACGGACATAGAACGCAACACAAGCCAGTCGTCCGCCGAATCCGAGTGCTCGCATCCAACTGCCAGGACGATAGAACGCGCATGTGTGCAGAATTTCTTATTTTTTACAGCACAAAGTGCCCAGTCCCCGTCGCGACCCGGCCCCATCTACTGCAACAAATAACATGTTCTGCGCATGCGTGCAGACTTTCCTATTTCTTACAGCACAAAGTGGGCGGCCCCCGTTGCGACCCGGTTATGTAAACCCGGTCCATCTACTGCAAAAAATAGCATTTCCTGATCCTGCGCATGCTCCATCCTAAGCATGCGTGCAGAATTCCGTATTTTTTACAGCACAAAGTGGGCGGTGCGCGTTGGCTTGTACTACTTGGCCTGTGCCTGTCCCCCCACTCTGCTATTGCGCGGTCGTCCTCGTCGTCGTCGTTTGCCGTCGTGTTCGTTTGCACCGATGTTGTTACAAGGAGAGGAGAGATGATCTTTATGGTGGGGTGGCTTGCGGGTGGGATTGACGGCCACCGCAGGTGGGTTCGTGGGCAAGTTGTAATCGTGGCCAAGCCTGTTAGACCCTAAACCCTAAACCCTAAGCCAACTCCCCGACTGTAGGGAGGCTCGCTTCCCGGAGGTCTTTGATCGTCCTCGGGCGCTCTCGTGGCCACGGCAGGCCGCGCCTCGACCCTCCGGGCAGAGCGCACCTCCAGAGAGGCCCGGGGATCGATGTCCGATCCCGGATCGCAGCTTCGAGATTCGAGGCACGAGGTTTCCGATCCCTGATCGGAGCTTCGAGATTCGAGGCACGAGGTTTTCGGACGGTTTCGTCGGTTCTCGGCGGCCTTCCAGCCACGGGATGCCTTCCAGCAGCTACCCCTCGCCGAGATGCGTCTGGGAGTGCCTGGATCGACCCGAACGTCCGCCGGAGGCCCGAGTTATGGCCCCATAAACCTAGGAGCAACGCTGTGGGGCGAGGGCGGGGGAGAGACGGGGAGGGAAGAGGAAGGAGGGGAGGAGATGGGAGGAGGGAGGCAGGCAGTTGGGAGGAGAGGGGGCAGCGGAGTGCGGACGGGGAGGGGGAAGGGCCAGAGGAGGATGAGGAGGCAGAGGTAGCGGAGGATGTTTCGATGGTGTTCTGAGGCCCTCCTCGGGGCCCGGGAAGGATGTCAGGGCTGGCGGGTGTGAAGCAGTCAGGGGTTCGAGGAGGAGGGGGAGGAGTCAGAATTCATGCTAATCATCGTGAGGATAGTGGTGATACCAGTGGTGATACGAATTGAACTATTACGACTAAGACTATCAATCGGGCTGGAAGAAAATTATCCCAGTGCGACCCTACCTACGAGTTGGAGCCCCTAGGAAAGCAGCAGTAGTAGTGACAGTAAAGCTAAGCTAAAACTGAGCTACAGCTAAGCTAAAGCTAAGATAAAGCTAAGCTAAAGCTAAGCTAAAGCTAAGCTGAAACTAAACTGAAGCGAAGCTAACGCTAAACGAAAGTTAAGCTGAAGCTAAGCTAAAACTAAGCTACAGCTAAGCTAACTCTAAGTTAACACTAAGCTAAAGCTAAGCTAAAGCTAAGCTAAAGCCACGCTACAGCTAAGCTAAAGCTAAGCTAAACATAAGCTAACTCTAAGGTAAAGCTACAGCTGAGCTAAAGCTAAGCTAACGCTAAGCTAAAGCTATGCTAAAGGTAATCTAAAGTTAATGTATAACTAAGCTAAAGTTAAACGAAAACTAAGCTAAAGCTAAGCTAAATCTAAGCTAACTCTAAGCTAAATCTAAGCTAAAGCTAAGCTAAATCTAAAGCTACAACTAAAGCTAAAGTTAAAGCTTAAGCTTCCAGGATCCTGGGGGAACCGCGGGGCGGATCCTGGGGGAACCGCCCGCGGCGGGGAGCACTGCCCGGCCCTTTAAGCATACAGGGTAAGAACCCTTCTAGGCAGAGCCTAGGTAGGGAACTGAGGAGGAATGGAGGGATACGGAGGAGGAGGGGGGAGGAGAAGGAGGAGGAGAAGGAGAAGAGGGAGGACAGAGAACGATGGGAAGGACGAGTGGGCAAGGATCGAGGAGCTCCGAGGGAGGAGGGTGGAGGAGGGTGGACGGCACGGGCAATGCTCCCCCCTCCTCCTCCTCCTCCTCCTCCTCCTCCTCCTCCTCCTCCTCCTCCTCCCTCCTCCTCCTCCTCCTCCTCCTCCTCCTCCTCCTCCTCCTCCTCCTCCCCGTCCTCCCCCTCCTCCTCCTCCCCCTCCTCCCCCTCCTCGAGGGAGCAAGGACGCGGAGCTGGGCTCCCGACCCTCCCCACGCCGCTGCTGCTCGGCCTCGGCGGGGCGTGCTCTAACCACCTGGGTGCCGCCGCCTGCGCAGGGGCTCGGAGCTGCCGGGGCGGATGGGGGGGGGCACCGGCACGGGGCAGAGGAAGAGCAGGAGGAGGAAGATGAGAGGAGGAGGAGGAGGAGGAGGAGGAGGAGGAGGAGGAGGAGGAGGAGGAGGAGGAGGAGGAGGAGGGGGAAGAGTAGGAGTAGGAGGAGGAGGAGGAGGAGGAGGAGGAGGAGGAAGAGTAGGAGGAGGAAGAGGAGGAGCAGCAGCAGGCAGGCAGGTGGCGCAACTGCCGCGCAGGCCGCGCAGCCGTCCCGCAACCGCTGCCACCAGCCCCGCCCTCGGCTGGGCCTAGCGCGCGCGCCGGCCCTGAAGCCCCGACCGAGCTCCGACGATGGTTCGCATCCGATCCACCACCGACCTCGGTGCCCCCATCCCCTCTTCCGGAGGACGGAGGGCGGAGAAGGGATGAGTAGGGAGCGCGGAGGAGGAGGAGGAGGAGCAGGAGGAGGAGGAGGATGAAGCTTGAAGGGGAGGAGGAGGGCGGAGGAGGAGCAGGAGGAGGGCGGAGGAGGGCGAGGAGGTTTGGGGGAGTTCGTCAGAGCGCCCGCCGTACAAGCCCGCGGCACGCTCAGCTCGGTGGGGTCGGGGCCGCTTAGCGTAAGCAGGCAGAGAGCCACGGCATAAAGCCGCGGCACACCAGGCCCCTGCGACGCCAGGGAAAACGCCGCACGTCGGGCGATGACGCGCATGACTGATGCGCCGCGCGGCGGAGGGCAGAGCCAGGGCCGAAGTTCACAACGTTCGCCATGTATGTGTGTATGTATGTACGGTCGCCCCCCTCCCTTCGTGATCATACATCTCTCTCTCTCTCTCTCTCTCTGCTTTCCTACTTCTTTCTCGTGTTCCTCTTTCTTCTTTCTCTTCACCCTCTCCTCCTCCTCCTCCTCCTCCTCCTCCTCCTCCTGCTCCTCCTCCAACTCCAACTCCTCCTCCTCCTCCTCCTCCTCCTTCTCCTCCTCCTGGTCCTCCTCGTCCTCCTCCTCCTCCTCCTCCTTCTCCTCCTCCCCCTCTCGTTGTAACAGTATCAAACCTATACAAGACAATGCTTGGTGAGGTCAGCGCAAGGAAACACTGTGTACTTTTGTTGTTTGTTGCTTTGCTCGTTTTGTGAAGACACGAAACACTGTGTATGTTTGTTTTTTGTTGGTTTTGCAGGCGGCCTCCCTCGCAGCATTCCTCATTGAGCCTGCAAGACCCCAAACAACACAAATACAGTAGTTGGCGCCCTTGGTGTAAGGAAGCACTGCGCTATTTGTTTGATTTTGGTTTGTTAAGCAATGCAGCGCTGTTTTCTGGTATTCCTTCGCATTGATCCCTTATGAAGGAGTACGTATTAGAGGCTGCTTGTTAGGGATCTCCGAATGCAGTTTCCTCAGTACGGGTTCCTTGCGAAATTATTATTTAGTACGGATTCATTCATACACATTCCTTAGTGAAGACTCCTGTTTCAGCATTCCTTATGGCGGATTATATAGCAAACATCCTTTGTTAAGGATTCCTTGGTTCAAGTTCCTTTTTCGGGATTCCTTATGAAGGATTCCTTCATGAAGGATTCGTTAGTAAAGATTCCTTGGTAAGGGTTCTTCGGTACAAATTCCTGAGTAATAATTCTGCAATTCGGATTCCTTATGAGGGATACTTCGACCACGCCTGTTGTCAGATTCTTCACGTCGGAGTCCTTATTCAGGATTCCCTACTACGGATCAATAATTTAAGGGTATATCTTAAGAAATCCTCTGCAAAATCGTTACTACGGACCCCGCCGACAAGATTTCTTAATAAGGATTCCTTGGCACAGTTTTCTTGTGATGGGTTCCTAAGATAAGATTCATCATGAAGGATTCCTTTTGGAAAGATTTTTGTATTGAGAATCCCTTATTCAGGATCCTTGAATTTCGGATTCCCTAGTACGGATTCATTAATTTTCATACCTACCGGTGTGATCTCGCACTGCACTGTTTTCACCGACCGTGCCTGGGATGTCCTGGATGTGCACTGGGATGTGCATTGTGTATTGTTTTTTTGTCGGTTCTGCAGGCCCCGGTGCTCGCCGCGGCCTCCCTCGCAGCACTCCTCTCTGAGCCTGCAAGACCCAAAACAGCAAACATACAGTAGTTGGCGCCCTGGGTATAAGGAAACACTGCGTCATTTGTTGTGTGCCGTTTTTTTTTTTCATTTTTTTTTTTTTTTTTTTGTTTTTTTTTGTCTTTGGATTGTTAAGTAATGAAGCGCTGTTTTTTTTTGATTTTGCTTTTGCTAGCTCCAGTGCTCACTGTGGCCTCCCTCGCAGTATTTTCCTGCCTTTCTTTTTTGTGTCAAAAAACCATACGCAGTAGTTGGCGCCCTTGGCGTAAGGAGATACAGTGTGTTTCTGTTTTGTTGTTTTTTTCCTTGGTTTGTGAAGCTACGAAGCACTGTGTGTTTGTTTGTTGTGTGTTTCTTGGTTCTGCAGAACCAAAAGTACACAGAATTTCCATGCATCCCAGACCCAGAAAAACAAACAAACATACACAGCGCTTCTTGAATCGAGGGTGAGGAAGCCTGGCCATTAAGGTTTCTTTCGCGCATGTTCCGTGTGGAGGATTCATTAGAAAAGTTCCGTAGCCAGGATTTGTTAGTACAGGTTCTGTAATAAGGGTTCCTTCACGCATGCAATTTAGCAAAGGCTCCTTCGTTGAGATTCCTTATTCAGGATTCCTTGGCGACTCCCTGATGCAGATTCCTCAAATCGGATTCCTCACTGAGACTCTTGAAATACATGCTCCTTGTTACGGAATTATTTCGTGAATATTCCGTAATCGTTATTCCTGGTGAGGGAATCCTTCTTCAGGGTTCCTTAATTCTGATTCCTTGTAAAGGGTTCCGCATGAAGTATTCCGGATATGTTCTTTATTCCGTAGTTCTGGTTCCTGATGCCTTTCATACAGATTCTTTACGAAGGATTCCTTATTGAATAATCCGTGCCAAGGATTCCTACTCAAGGGTTCCATATTCAGGATTCCTTGTTATTGGTTCTTTATGAAGGAGTCTGCATTAAAAAGCTCCTTGTTAGGGATATCCTAATGCAGTTTCCTCAGTACGGGTTCCTTGCGAAACATCATGTAGTACGGATTCCTCAATTCATATCCTTACTAAGGATTCATTAGTGAAGACTCATGTTTCAGCATTCCTTATGACGGATTATCTAGCAAAGATCTCTTGTTAAGGAATCCTTAGTTTAAGTTTCTTTTTCGGGATTCGTTATGAAGGATTCCGTGTGAAGGATTCCGTCGTAAATTTTCCTTACAAAAAATTCCTTGGTACACACGTATGAATAATAATTATGCAAGTCGGATTCATTGTGAGGGATACTTCGACGATGCCTGTTGCCATATTCTTCACATCGGAGTCCTTATTCAGGATTCCATGCAAGACTCCTTTCTTCAATGGTTCCTTAGTTTGCGGTTTCATTTCTCCAGAACTCCTTATTCAATAGTCTTTATTATTGATTTATACGTTAAGGGTATATGTTTAAGACATTTTCTGTAAACATCATTACTAAGGATCCTTCCGAAAAGTCTTCTTAGTAATGATTCCTTGGCACATTTTCCTTGTGAAGGCTTCCTTAGTTAAGATTATTCATGAATCATTCCTTTTTGTGCAAATTTCTTGTAATGAGAATCCCTTATTCAGGATCCTTGAATTTCGGATTCCTTAGTACGGATTCATTAACTTTCATACCTGCCGGTGTGATCTCGCACTGCATTATTTCGACCGACCGTGCTTGGGATGTCCTGAATGTGTCCTGGGATGTGCACTGTGTATTTTTGTTTTCTGTTGGTTTTGCAAGCCCCGGTGCACGCCGCGGCCTCCCTCGCAGCACTCCTCTCTGAGCCTGCAAGACCCAAACATTTTTGTATTGAGAACCCCTCATCCGTAAGGGCTTCGCCCCCTGCCGCCGGCCCCTCTCTCGGAGAATGGGCCATGGAAGAGCTAAGTCATGAGGCTTTGGCGCTGTCGTGCAGCAGTATCGGAACTTCATGCGAGGCCGATTCGCAATCGGCAAAACCAACTGATCACAAGAGGGGTTACCACACAGGGCGATTGGTAAGACGTGTATGGTTTATGAGCTTGGTTACCACACCTTGGGATTAAAGGGCCGAGGGAGTACTCGCAGTTTGGGTTACCACGCCTTGCGATGGATGTGCGTGAGGGGTGGCACCGAATTTCAGAAATGTGGCAAATCCCATGTGTTTTTGGACCCTGACCCCGCGGATCTGCGTGAGGGGTGGCACCGAATTTCAGAAATGTGGCAAATCCCATGTGTTTTTGGACCCTGACCCCGCGGATCTGCGTGAGGGGTGGCACCGAATTTCAGAAATGTGGCAAATCCCTGTGTTTTTGGACCCTGACCCCGCGGATCTGCGTGAGGGGTGGCACCGAATTTCAGAAATGTGGCAAATCCCCTGTGTTTTTGGACCCTGACCCCGCGGATCTGCGTGAGGGGTGGCACCGAATTTCAGAAATGTGGCAAATCCCATGTGTTTTTGGACCCTGACCCCGCGGATCTGCGTGAGGGGTGGCACCGAATTTCAGAAATGTGGCAAATCCAATGTGTTTTTGGACCCTGACCCCGCGGATCTGCGTGAGGGGTGGCACCGAATTTCAGAAATGTGGCAAATCCCATGTGTTTTTGGACCCTGACCCCGCGGATCTGCGTGAGGGGTGGCACCGAATTTCAGAAATGTGGCAAATTCCTTGTGTTTTTGGACCCTGACCCCGCGGATCTGCGTGAGAGGTGTCGATTTCGAGCCCCCCCAGCAATTCAGACAACGCGTCCAGGGGACGCTAAAAGTCTTGTTTGGGCATCCCCCCCCCTCGCGCGGTCAATCAACTAGTTACAGTAACCAGCAAGAAGTCAACTAGTTACAGTAACCAGCAAGAAGCAGAACTGTAACACTGGAAACTACAAGCTACAACTGGTACAGGAAACTGCGAACCCGCGTCTACAGCCTGGTGGCCCCACAAGGGGGCCGGCGGATCCAGGATCCTCGTATTACGGATTCCTTAGTACGGACTCATTATTATCATTCCTACCAGTGTGATCTCGCACTGCAGTATTTCGACCGACCGTGCCTGGGATGTCCTGGATGTGCCCTGAGATGTGTCCTGGCATGTGTGCGCTGGGGTGTGTCCTGGGATGTGTCCTGTCTCCGTTTGCTAGACTGTGTGCTGGGCTGTGTGCTGCCTAATCGCTGCTTTCTTCATTTGCGGAGCTGTGTGTTGATGT